CCCCCACGGGATCAAACATACCTTCATTTTTGGCAAAAATTTAACAAAAAAATGGAGCTGAAAAGGGGTTGGTTGTAAGGGGGGGGTCACCCGGTGCTTGTACCCACAGACAGCGTCGCCTTGGAGGAGTACAAACACGTGCTGGGGGGCTCGAAGCTCACCTACACCATCAAACCCAGCCAGCATCAGGAGGAGAGCATCTTCTACGTGGAAGGACTCGCCTTCCCTGACATTGGCTTCTCAGGGCTGGTGGCTTTACATGTCACACTGCTGGAGAGCCCTGAGAAGGTACTGGTTGTGGTGGGGGGTTTGGTGGGGTGTAATGGGGGGAGAACAAAGCCTAAAGACATGTCCTCCACCATCCCAGGGTTCGCTGGAGACGCCCATCTTCACCGACAAGGTGGTTTTCCGCGTGGCTCCGTGGATCATGACCCCCAACACGGCTACGCCGCTGGAGGTCTTTGTCTGTAGGTGGGTGCTGGGGTGAGTGACCACATCCTGCCTGGTGCTGGATCAGCCCTTACATCTCATTTTTACCTCCCAGCACGACTGACAACAAGGATTTTGTGGCAGCTGTGAGTGCTGTGGCTGAGAAAGCCAAGTGCCTGCTCACCATCTGCCCGCTGGTGGAGAACCGTGAGGACCGCTGGATCCAGGTGGGTGCAGGATGATGCCCAGCTCCATCCCTACTGCTCCAGGGGGGCTCCTTCCATCTTCTCCATCCCTTTTCCAGGATGAGATCGAATTTGGATACGTACAAGCTCCCCACAAGACCTTCCCTGTCGTCTTCGACTCACCCCGTGACCGAGAGCTGAAGGATTTTCCCATCAAGAGAATCCTGGTACCTGACTCCTTCCTCCTCCCTCCCCCAGCAAGACATCAAGCTTTGCAAATCCATAAAAAATTAGAATAAATCTCTCTTTTTTCTTTTTCTTTCAATTTTTGGGAAGGGAAGAGCCAGCAGGGAAGATAATTTGGGATTGCTGCATTTTGGATGCTTACAGCTTTTTTTTTAAAACCATAATCACCCTTTTTTTAACCATTATCACAATTTTTTTTCCTTATCCAGGGCCCTGATTTTGGTTACGTGGCCCGACAAGCACCAGAGGGTACTTCCAGCCTTGATTCCTTTGGTAATTTGGAGGTGAGCCCCCCCGTGACAGTGCAGGGCAAGGAATATCCCTTGGGTCGTATCCTGATCGGCAGCAGCTTTCCCAGGTGAGATACGGGATGGAGACATTAGAACAGTGTGAAAAAACCCCCAAACAACACAAACCAAACAAAAAACCCCTCAAAAAATACATTTATGCACCATTTGAGGTTGGTTACAAGCAGAGCATCACCTTGGGGACCCCAAAATAGCAGGGCCCCCCCCCTTGTTTTGTCCCCCCCTTTAGATTCGGTGGCCGGCGGATGGCGAAAGCTGTCAAAGCTTTTCTGGCTGCCCAACAAGTCCAAGCGCCGGTGGAGCTGTTCTCAGACTGGCTCATGGTTGGCCACGTAGATGAATTTCTCAGCTTCGTCCCTGCACCTGATCGGAAGGTAACGACTCACCTAAGGGGGGAAAAAAGTGGGGTACAACCTTTATATCCCCCCCAAAAAAATTCATCCCTTTCCCTCCGCAGGGTTTCCGTCTCCTCCTGGCCAGCCCCAGCGCCTGCTACCAGCTCTTCAAGAGGAAGCAAGAGGAAGGGTTTGGCGAGGCGGCGATGTTTGAGGGTAAGGGGAGGGGGGATGATAAAAAATGGGGTTCAATGGGTTGTTTTTCCCTTTTTTCTGCAAAATGGGATGGGGTGTGTGAACGCGCGGCACCCCAAAACCCAGCGCGTGGTGGGGAAGTGCTGCTGGCAGCAAGGATGGGGGACAGGAATAAGCAGAATTGATTAAAAAGCTGGTTGGGTTGTTGGTTGGGTTGGGTTGTGTTGTGTTGGAATTGGTTGGGTTGGCTTGGGTTGGGTTGGATTTGGTTGGATTTGGTGGGGTTGGGTTGGAATTGGTTGGGTTGGGTTGTGTTGTGTTGGAATTGGTTGGGTTGGCTTGGGTTGGGTTGGATTTGGTTGGATTTGGTGGGGTTGGGTTGGAATTGGTTGGGTTGGGTTGTGTTGTGTTGGAATTGGTTGGGTTGGCTTGGGTTGGGTTGGATTTGGTTGGATTTGGTTGGGTTGTGTTGGAATTGGTTGGGTTGGGTTGTGTTGTGTTGGAATTGGTTGGGTTGGCTTGGGTTGGGTTGGATTTGGTTGGATTTGGTGGGGTTGGGTTGGATTTGGTTGGGTTGGAATTGGTTGGTTTGGTTTGATTTGATTTGATTTCCCTGGTTGGGATGGAGCTCGTTGCTGGTGAGATCTGAACTGGGAGAGCTCCTGGCTCAGACCTGGGAATTTCATCCCGAACGTGTTGGGAGAAGAATTCCTGCCCGGTTATTTGTGTTCCAGGACTGGAGAAGGTGCCCAAGATGACAATAAACGAGATTCTGGCTAACCAAGGGCTCCGGAGGTTCAATAATTATGCTCAGGTGAGGAAGAGGAGCAGGGGGCTCCTTTCCAGCCCACCCTGTCCATCTGTCCAGCCCTCCAACTGTCCACCTATCCCTTAGTCCTGCTGTCCATCTGTTTGTCCCTCCATCCATCCACCCACCCATCCCTCCATCCCTTTGCCTCTCTGTCCACCCCCTGTCCTTCCATCTGTCCACTCATCTCTCTGTCCTTCCCTCCAACTCTCCATCTGTCCACATACCCCTCTGCCTCTCCACCCATCCATCTCCCTGTCCATCTGGTTGTCCCTCTGACCATCCATCTGTCCATCCATCTCTCCATCCCTCCATCTGTCCATCCATCTCTCTGTCCCTCTGTCCATCTGTCTGTCCTTCCATCCCTCTGTCCATCTGTCTCTCCATCCATCCCTCTGTCCCTCCACTGCTCCATCCATCTGTTCCTTCATCCCTCCATCCATCTGTCCTTCCATCTCTCCATCCCTATGTCCATCTGTCCGTCCATCCCTCCCTCCCCCTGGAGCCACCGCTGACCCCACTTTTCCTCCCACCAGCGCTGCATCAACTGGAACAGGGCCCGGCTGAAGTGGCAGCTGGGTCTGGCTGAGCCCGACATCATCGACATCCCCCAGCTCTTCCACGGTGACCCTTCCTCCGGCGCTGCAGCCTTCTTCCCTGACATGGTAACACCTCGTGTCCTCCTCGCGCTCCGACCTCCTGGGCTTTAATTTGGGCTGGGATTTGCACTCTGACCCCTGTCCCCATGCTGCAGGTGAACATGCTGGTGCTGGGCAGGCACCTGGGCATCCCCAAACCCTTTGGACCAGTGGTGGGTGGGCAGTGCTGCCTGGAGGAGAGAGTGAGGGCACTGCTGGAGCCCCTGGGCCTCACCTGCACCTTCATCAATGACTACTTCTCCTACCACGTCCTCTCTGGTGACGTCCACTGCGGCACCAACGTCCGCCGTAAGCCCTTCGCCGGGCCCCACCGCCCGCCGTAAGCCCTTCGCCTTCAAATGGTGGCACATGGTGCCTTGATGTCACCTCAACACCAACGTTGTTGTTCTTCCTCCTCATCCTCCTCCTCCTCCTCCCCAAATCCCTCTCCCCATCCCTGCAAGTGCCTTCAGCGGTGGTGGCCACCCACCTGCATTTGAAATAAAAAAAGGGCTGCAGCTTTCTCCTGGCCTCCCTGGTGCTGGGGGCAAGGTTGGAAGCTCGGTTTTGAGGAGAAAAATGCCTTTTTTTTAATCACTCTCTGGGTGACACTTTGTGGTGGTGTGGGACATGGGCATTGCTCAGTGCTGGGGTCAGTGTTGGGTCCCCTCACTCCAAGAAGGACATGGAGGTGCTGGAGCGTGTCCAGAGAAGGGAACGGAGCTGGGGAAGGGTCTGGAGCACAAGTGTGCTGAGTTCCCTTGTGGCTGAGGGAACTGGGGGTGTTGAGCCTGGAGAAAAGGAGGCTGAGGGGAGACCTTGTGGCTCTGTGCAAGTCCCTTGGAGGAGGGTGGAGAGAGGTGGGGGTGGGGCTGTTCAACCAAGGCCCAAGGGACAGGACAAGAGGAAATGGGCTCCAGTTGTGCCCAGGGCAGTTGAGATGGGATGTGAGGAAGAATTTCTTTGCTGAAAGGGTTCTGAGGCATTGGAAGGGGTTGCCCAGGGCAGTGGTGGAGTCCCCATCCCTGGAGGGATTGAAGAGTCGTGTAGACACAGTGCTGAGGGACATGGGTTAGTCATAGGGGACTGGTCCGTGTTGGGTTCATGGTTGGACTCCATGATCTTAAAGATCTTTCCCAACCAAACAACTCCATGAGTCTATATATATATATAAAAAATTAAATCCCATTGGTTAATTAATTAAATGTGAATTAAAAGATGACCAAAGGTGGGGGTGGAGGAAGCGAGCGGCGCACGGCGCGTACACAACGACGTCGTTTTATTTAAACATTTACTCCAAGAAATATAAAAAACCCCCAACCCCCCCCTGAAGACAATCCCAGCACTAACCCAGCAGCCTCAGCCAGTCTCCAGCGTCCTCCTAAAAATACGGCGCTGGCAGGCAGGATGAGCCAAAAATGATACTTTTTTGGGGGGGTAAAAGTAGGTTTTTTGGTGATTTTTTCACCTCCCCTTATTTTGGGGGTGCAGCATCCGCTTGTACCACACCCCCCCTCAAAAAAAAACAACCTTCTATTGCTAAAAAAAGCGGAATATTTGATTTTTCAGCCCAGCTGCTCTCCCTGTTCCTGGATATTTTCACTTTTCATCCCCCCCCTGAATAAAAAAAACCCCAACAAACACCCCAAAAGAAAAGCAAATTAAAAAAAAATAACAACCAAACAACATAAACAACCACCCCCCCCCT